TAATTACGCAATGTCTATGAATAGAAAGCCCAAAATTTTATTAAAATGTAAGAATTAAAAAATACTATAAATTAAAGTACAATTAATTGAAATCAGCCTTCATCAAAGTTTACTATATGAACTCTTTTTGGTTATAAAGTATAAATGTAACTTATCTTCCAAGCATCAATTCATTCCAAATATCAATTAATTTAATTGGTATCAGTGCATAAAATGCACTATCTTTGTGTATATCTATACAGATATAAGATAACGTAACATAAATCCATAATAAACATTTAGAGAAAGAGTCGCAAAAATTTTATGCGAATGTTGAATAGAGGAATTCAACGTATTCAATTTAAAAAAGATAAAGACGCTATCTTACAGAGTCAGGAGCAGTTAAATGAGCCGAAGAATATCTAACTCTCAACATAATATTTTAAAAACCACACCATCAAATCTCGAAATGCCCTTTCGACTGGATATCACTTGGAAAAACCACAAGATCAAATCGCATGTAACAAGTCCAACAGGTCTCGTGATGTAACACTTTCACTGGGACCCCGTAATACAAAACCGGAGAATAACGGGATATGTTCTACCGCCATACTTTTGTTATATAATTGAAGGTCATAGGAGTCAGACTTGACAAAGAATAAGCATAATGTATTACTTTGTTTAAGCAAGAAATATGGACATAGAACTTTGTAAAAATAAATCATTCAGAATTAGACGTCATCGAGATAGAAAGTTTCCCATGAATGGTTATTTGAGAAGTAACAAGACCTTATTATACCTAAACAAGGGTTTGTAGCATCTGCACCCGGGGTCGGTTTAAAGTTGCAAAGAAACCCGAAAAAAGCAGACCAAAGCCGTTAGAAAATGAACGTGAGTCGTCATTGCATCGGTACGTTAACTTGATGCTTTCAAATATTACATACTATCAGCAATCTTATATAATACACAGTGAACGAAATAAGATCACATGTGAAAGATTAAAAAATACAAATAAACAAGAAGCAAAGTGGTTTTGTAACAAGCTTGAATTATCATGACGAGAAATCGTTGCAGCATCTAAAAAGTTTCATTAATGTGATTGAGTTTCAAACACTAAAATAAGGTCAGTAATGAAATAACATGTGTAGGGAAAAAAAGTAAAAACTTGTAAGATTACGGGATAGGAAGATACTTGAAACATCATTGCATCATTCTGGGTTTTAATGATAGGAAAAGTAAAAGGAGACTGACGATAACCAGTAGTAATTGTTGAGTTTTTTACATTCATAATATTTTTTTTGTTAAATTTTATATTAACCTCTTTCAATTTGACCATATTAAGCGAGCACACAAGTTATTCTTTGAATCTCCCCAATGCTTGAATTGCTGATATAATTGAGGATTTTAAGATTCACCAAGAGTTCAATAACTGCAAAATTTTTGGGTTACTTCAAAAATGTAATATTTGTCTGACGAAAACCAAAATGATTGGGTAAACGACACGATTGTATATACTATTGCTAGTATGCAGAATTTCAAAATTGATGTCGTCAACAAAATGCCTATTTCCGTTGAGAGGGAAAGTGGACGTTTATGTAAAGTAGACACAACTAATTTTTGGAAGCGTCGTGAAGGCCACAAGAATGTAGGACAAACGTATAAGTGAAATCACTGCTAATAGGCAATAGAGCTAAATCAAGTAGATTATGAACAGATTTTAAGATCAGAAGCTTATAAAAATGACAGGAAAGGTTGTGGCAACTGCTCGATGAATGAAAATGTTGAACAATCGAGGAATAGAATCATAGAAAAACATAGCTTTAAGAAGTGCTTACCGTAATAAAGTCTACCAGCAAATTGAATCCGAAAAAATCATGTTAGCACTTCAAATAAACCTCAACAGGAGTAGGTATATTAAAGGAGCTACACAGAATAGTGCAGGAGGATTGCACTAGGAAAACAAAAGAATTATAACAGAGAAGTAACTTGACAGTACTTATCGTGATAAAATCTACAAGCAAATTGAATTCGGAAAAAATCACGTAGGTAAATACTTGAAATAAACCTCGGCAAGAGTATACTAAAGGAACTACACAGAATAGTGCAGGAGGATTGCGCTAGGGAAACAAGAGAACTATAACAGAGAAGTAACCTGACAAGAGGTCAAGTTAGAAGAATCTTACCACAGCGAGTTAACGAGATCGTAGTAGCGATCGGTCAACTCCTCATCGGGTTCTGGCATCGGTTCCTCTATGGTGTCCTGAACCACTGCTCTTATTGCTAACATTTCGGAAACTGAAAACAGTAAATCGCATTTAAATTTATTCTACGGCATTGTATCGAAACATTTTCGAATTCCATTTCAGAGCAAATGCAACCAAACATGATACAGCTTCAATGGAAACACAAAACTATATTAATTTTACGATGATGTGTGCATATAATTTTGGTTTTGTAATTTTATTGTTTGTTATTTAACTAAAGCAATTAGTACAGAAACTTGTCACGGTTACAAAAGTTATCTAACTCTAAACGGAAGCTGATTAGCTTCCTAATGACATAAATTAATAAGATAAATTAAACACATCTAACCCTGTAACCCAGATTCGAAATTATTTCGTAATACTTAACTATATCATCACGTTCATACACGTGATATAACAGGTGTTATATAATATTATACTTTTTACAGCTTTTGGTTCCGGTGTAAAGGTCGTCGTTTACAAATTTTGATCTTTTGTTATTTAATCACATCTTACATTTCTTTTTTACAAGCGGATTTCCATACGCATAGACTTATGTAGAGATGATCATGCCAGTAGATATTTGCTTTGTTAACAATACTCATGACCCCTCTATGAACCTTATTTGAATACGATATTGGCACTTTACATTCTTCATAAGAGATAGCTTATACAGGCTGCCACAAAGAGATCAGACCATATTTCAGTTAGTGATCGTAGTCATAATAAACATTTTTTTTAATAAATAACAGAACTATTTACTTTACACATTACAAAACGTGCAAGGTCAAATGATTATTTTTTGAAGGGAAAAAATATCACTGTTTTAAAAATATATTTGTGCTACGGTTGTTTGTTATCTTGACTACAATCACCATTTAAAATTTGTTAGGTTCTTTTCATTGCAATTGCCGTACCAGTGTCTAAGAAAATAAATAGCTAGAATCATGATGACATTTTTTTCATGAGCTTTCACAAAAGTAATATGCTATGTAAATGCAGCTTTGTGAAGATCACCGGAAGAAGACTGCCAATCCCTTCCACTTAGATTCTCCTACAGGCACAGGCAATTCGTGACTTGGGAGTCTTGTTGATAACGAATTGAAATTCACATACATATATTATAACAATATTATCCGTGAGTCAGCGCGCAAGAAAAGTCAATTTATTGTTTATTGTTTTTTCATAATTAATTGTAATGATTACTTTAATCGTTTATTTAATAAATCTAAATTTTATTCAAATGCTTTTTTAAACAATTGAAATGTTTATAATTGTGTAGTATTTCCGCTGAGTGATAAGCTTACCTACAACATGGACACATAATTATAAGAACAAACTAATGTAATCATAAATATCTAACTCGGTTAATTACTTATTGAAGAACAGGAACAGGTTTCTGATAGTTCCTGAAGAACCTGTTTCTGATATTTCTTATTTATACACTACTATTATCATTTAATCCCATATTCCTTTTCAAAATCATGCCCTTCAGTTAATTGTTTTTTTTTATAACTAAGTTATTTTGAGGATTGAAGGTGTTATTGTTTCATAATAATACGCGAGTTTAACTTGCACCAACAAAATAAAATTAATGTAAATTGCAACATTTACTATTATTATTGTGCAATAAACTGTCGCAGTGTATTTCCTATGTTATTAAAATTCGCGGTTATATCGACATATCCCCATTAGTTCCAAACAAATAATAATACAACCCAATTTTATTGTTGTATCAACATTACCTTCTTTTTTGTCGAAATGTATCGTTTAAGTTGCGTAAGAAGTTCTACATCAATCGTTATTGGATACACATTTCCAGTTTGTTACTTTTTCACTGTTATGTAACACTAATTTTATCTTTATGTTCTACAATTTTGTTGTGGTTATCAACTATAGACCATTTGTTTTTTTTTTGTCTCTTTTACAATTTTATTGCGAACAAAGAAATATGGGTGACATTACAACATAGTATATACTTTGAAAATTATGTATAATTTCCGAATTCATATCCATCGTGAAGTAAAATGCCTAATGTTATCAGAAGCCATTGTAATAGTAAATTATTATGCAATGATTTACCCATCGTTCGTATTTTCGATGTTGCGTATTTGTGCATTAACTCGTTTTTCTCTTTATATAGTTTTTACTGAAATTTAAGTGCGTGCTGATTTTTTTTTTGTAATCTTTATTATTACGGGCTATTTTAAGACTATCACAGAATATCTTCGCTGATATGCGCTCTAAAGTCCTCCGTAAGTAAATCATAGAGAGAGCCATTAATTGTTTTTTCAATTTGCATTTTCTTTTTCTGGTATTGTATTTTACGTCATTTTTTTAAATATGTAACAAATTCATATTGGTCACTTTTTTATAAGGTCACACCTGCAAAATAGCAACATTTCAGGAGAGATGCCTAAAGATTCTATAAAGAAAATTAGCCGATAACTTTTTTATACTTTAATAGGAGAGTTATCAAATTTCACATATACATCATTTATTTCATGTACTTTATATTATTTTTAAGATTTCCATACGATAAAATCGATATACAGACCTAACCTAAAATTATAGAAATGTGGAAGTAATCGTATCTATTGCGCAACTAAATTATCTTGCCAAAATTGTGTTAGGTTATTCAGATGGACTCAAATCTATTTGATAACTTTCACGTATTTAGTATAACTTTACATTTTTTTTATTCCTCGCGTAGTTGTTTATCCTTCGCAAATTAGTTAGAAAAATAAAGTCTAATTATAAAAAAATAAGTAATCTTACCGTCTACATGTGCAGGGTATTTATGCGCCGCGTAACCGGACGGTGCAGATGGTGCGGTATAATGCGCGGATGCTGTTGGTGCACCATACGATGAGGGCGGGTACTCCACGTGGGCAACTGGCGGCGGCCCGTACACTACAGTAGCTGGAAATTTAAGAATTGGATATAAGATTTTTACCAACATTATATTAAATAAATATTAAACAACATCACATACGTTGCTCTGATCCCAAAATAAGTAACTAAAGCACTTGTGTTATAAAATCGGAAACAACGACGGTACCACAAACATCCAGAGCAAATTTAATTTTTCTACAATGATCCGGCCGGGAATCGAACCCGGGACCTCAGAGATGGCGAGAATTAAAAAAAATGTTGATGGCGTTATCACTGATGTTGTAGAAAGATTACAAATATAGGTGAAAGATATAGAAGACTCTTATAAATGTTAACGATTTTTTTTTATTTTTGGCAATGTTATTAGAAAGTTATTGTGTTTATAATTTTTAAAAGACATTCGCAGTCACTATTACAACTACAACATTAACAGCAATTTGACAACGACAAACATGGATGCAACTCTGTCGACATTTCGAATTAGATGAAAGGTAAGGAGTAAAAACCTGATATGATTTTAATTGTACCTAGTATATATAAAAATATAACATCAGTTATTAACATTATCATAAGAAATACGACCATCAACTAAGCAATAAATTTCAATAAGTAAATAATTATAATTTAACAAATCGCACTTTGAAATAAATTAATTTCGTTCTCAATTTTGATTCACCATATTGCAGTCGAAAAACATATGAACGAAAATTACTTCCAAATATTAGTCAAGTCAAGTAAAGAACAGAAGTACAGTCACGAAATTAATTTACATAAAAATTATTGGATTTTAATGCAAAATATACTTAAAACTAGGTATTTACATTTAAAAAAGCATTCTCTTTGAAGAATGCCCTCTCCTCTGCTGTCAATATGCATGCCAAAACCTCAATGTTCATAACAGAGGAAGCTATAAATATTTATGATTGTTTATGTTAAATATTTTGCTACTAAAGTCCAACTGAAGACAAAAATAGTTTTAGATATTTGCGTGGGATTTCCTAATGAGCAATTATAATTTATTAATAAATTATTCCTATTGAAAGTCCGTAGTATCTGTGAATGCGAGGTAAAGAACCTAAAGTGTTATATAGTAATTTTACCATTGCGTGATTTTTAGCATTCTAAAGCAATGTTTGCAAAAACATCTAAACTCCAAAATATGGACTCCAGGTTTTTTACCCCTTACCGCACAAGATATGTAGCCTGTAATACAATTAAAAATTAAATAAGAAACTATATATACGTTTTATATATATATATATATATATATGTATATGTTTATAAAAATCAATTACCATGATAATTATAACAAAAATTTAATCTTTATTTGTGGCGTTTTCTTTGTCTTCGTTTCCTTCAGTCAAATTCTACCGAATAATTTATATATAGCTATAGGCGGCTTGCTAATAATTCTATGTAAATGTTGCAATATAAGGGGTATGTGCGACGTGGAAAAAAAATTATATCGCTCTTAGATAAATAAACAAGTAGTGTTTTTATCAATAATCATCAAAGTAGCGATACAACAGCAATCGATAGATTTTAAAAAAAAGATAAAATGTTAGAATTCCCGCATTTTCCCCACATAGCGTCAATCCCACAAAATGCCCAATCGAGTTGAAATTCCCCGCAATCTGGGGAATTCGCCAAAAATTGACAACACCATAAGTGTTGCCCATTTATTTTGAGCAATTTATCTATGAAGAATAATATTAACAACAAAAGAGGAAATGTAGCAAAAAACTACAATTGTCATATTGTCATATTTTAATTTTCATACTTTTAGAAAAAAACGAACTCCAGACAAAAACGGTATCTTTTAAAATTTTTTTCATTGTTTTTTTTTTCACCTCAGAAAAAAACGATTTTTTAACAACACTATCGGTACCCCGTGCCACTCATAGATGATCATGATCGATTGTCTCGTCTTGTTATAGTCTTAATATGGCGACTGGGGATTAGGCATTATCCGTATGCCAGAGGGGCATTACGAATTTCTTAAGATGCCCTTCGGACAGACAAATTCCCCGATCGTTGACCAGCATTTCATTGAGGCCGGTTCTGTCCAGGTTTATGTTGACGACGTGCTTGCGTGCTTAACTGTTGAAGAGGGTATCGAATTGTTCAAACGTGTGCTCAAAACTCCCACTGAAGCGCGATTCTCGATTATTTTGCGCAAGTGCTCATTCTTAAGTAAGGAAGTCGATTTCTTGTGTAGGGTAGTCGGTCATGGTCAGGTAAGGCCGAGCCACCGCAAAGTTGACGCGTTAATTGACTCTAGGCAAGGATGCCTAGTAGTAGTGAGTAGGAACTCATGGTATACCGTAAATTAGGTTTAATAATGTAGTGTACATTTCATCTTTTTTTTTTCTACGTAATTTACAAACCTATTAATGCAGGGCCATTAAATTATACTTGTTTTAACGACTGTGAAAATTTCCAAATAAACTTAATGTCATAAGCAAAAGGCAAGTTAACGAGGACCCTTTGGTCAAGGAGCGATAGAAAATTTTATGTCATTTGCCGTCACTGTAGTCTGTGTCGGGACGTGGTATCGCATAATGTAATGACATTATTGCCATTACTTATCCAATCCAATGACTGGGAATAATATTATAGACAATAATGTCGCACATTTATGATGCACAATGTTCATATTTTATGAATTTCAAGAAGAATCAGCAACAAAAGTAAATTTACCTTAAAGGTAAATTTATTTACCTTATGATTAAGTACCATGGGTGAAAACTCGATATCTATTGAATCTTCTCTCTTTGTAATTTTTTAATTTTTTTAATTGATTATTATAAAGATTATTAATTGGTTATACATATATATCATCTTATTGTTTTTTAGATATATTTATGTATGTATACCTATGTGTACGTGTATGCATGTTGATGTTATTTATACGTTACAATAGCTATTTACTTGTGTAACGGTTATATTTTTTATATAGTTTGTAATATTTAGGTCTCATTCTCTCTCTCTGTTGCCCGCTTATGACCTTTGCTCTCTCTGTCTTGGGTTGGCCGGTAGAGGTCTCTTTTAGAGATGAGTTCACCTTTGCTCACCATCCGTTCATTTAATACTTCTATTGTGTTTATTTGGTGCTTTGAATATTATGATCTATTTATCAAACGGCAAAACGGTAATCTAAAAGTTGAAATATTTTAGACAGATGTCTAAAAGAACTAATGTGAAATTGATCAAGATACGCTCTATTTTTACTATATCAGAGAAAACTTACCGTGAGGTTTCTTATGGCTCAACGCAGCTGAGCTGACAATCTTCTTGCCAAAGTTGCTGACAGCGTCTCCCTTAACTGCAATCACCTTGCCTAGAGTGGTGGCCAGGTGCCCACCGCCCTTGATGAGCTGGCCTTTGAGAATGGTGACTCCTCCAGTAATAGCCTTCACTGCTTGGAACAGTGTGTAGAGGATAGACTTTTTAAGACCCCAGTAGTCGACTTTCTCGCTATGCTGTTGTAAAAAACAATATACGATCATAATGTGCTTTTAACTTTATTAATTAAAACCAACAAGGAAGCTGTTAACGGAAATAAGCCAATAAGCAGGACGTCAATGTGATAAAACGCAAAGTAATTAATAAAATAGTAGGAGAAGATAACAGAATAGTTGAAATTAAAGACAAAATAATAACATCTATAAAAACTGTAAACGTCTACATGATTGACATTTACAGTCATTGTCTTTTATCTTTCGAATCAAGCGAAACGACGAGTTGTAGTTAATATACGTGCACAATGTACTAAGACTCAAGATTGCATCTTCTGTTACGTATCAGTAATCAGGTCATGGGTGATAACTAATGTGAACATTATTTCTAGCGAAGATACCTTTGTCCAGCTAATGATTAATTGTTGGGCCAAGGAGGCGGCATTATTATGCACATAGAAACTATTAAGTGCAGCAGCTATGACTTCACGACTGGCCATAATACCGCTTTAAACATGATCGCACGTATTTTGAGTGTATAATGGGTGGTCATAAAAATGTGTTAAAGACATCCATCAGTACCATTTTGACAGCAAAAATGGGTACGCTGACTTTTCCCACCTTGCAATAAATCATGTCGTTAGTTTGAATTATTTTTTGGTATATTTACAGTATTTGATTGCAATATGTCATAATTTATTTGTATTTTAGTTCCTTTATATTGTATCATTAGATTTCTTCTAATCTTGGCATCTTAATTTTATTTTGTTTTAATATTCTTTATTTGGATTAATTTACATGATACTTTTATTAATAAAAGTGTTGATATTGAGTATTCCAGATAAATTATCATGCTTCTCTTAGTCAATCAGTATGATTGTTATTACTTATGAGAACTCATAATAGCGCCTGGAAGTTTCAGCTATGTTAGTAAATATCTACGCTTACCGGTTCATAGGAATATCCATGATGATCATCACCATGTCCACTTTTGCTTGAAGCTGACGCGAGGAACGAGACCGCCCCGGCTGAAGCTTGGCCTAAGAATCCCACTTTACTCTGTAGCCCTGTTGATGCTTTTGACACTACAGATGAAATAGCTTGAGCTGATGATCGTTTCGTTCTGAAAATAAGAAAAAATTTGAGCCGGGGAAGTCCACATTCATTTATCTGAAAAATGATTAAAAGATGATGCATACCATGAGTAGCCAACATTGGGTGGAGTTTTCTACATTTTTGATGTTTTGAGTAGATTGGTTTTATTCAATCAGTAATTACTATTGTCCAAGTATGGGGCAAAATTTAAATTTAATTGGGTATAAGTTTGGTTGTGCACAATAAAGGGTACTTAGGTATTTTTATTGTATTGGACTTCAACAGGGTACTAGATTTATTGTCTTCATCTTCGATTTTATCATTTTATGTTATCTGCATGATAAACAGCTGTCTGTGAATTTTACTGCGTTATGTATCTACGTAGTAAAAAATGGATGCATCGCGTCGAGCGGTCTTGTTGGTTGCCATTTACTATTTTTCCCGTAAGTATAACTATCATCATCAACCCATTTATACGTGACACTGCTGGGCACGGGTCTCCTCTCTGGTGAGGGTTTCAGGCCATAGTCCGCCACACTGGCCCAATATGAATTGAAGATTTCGCACGTTGTTGTTATTTTCCGAGGGTTGTGAACGTTCCTCGATGAGCAGGTTTTCCTTCACCGTAAAGTTCATGATAAATTTCGAATTAAATGTCGCACATAAATTCCAAGAAACTTTCGAACCCATAGCCTTCGCTTTAGAGGCGGTATCAATTGTCTACCACGGCTATAAGTGTATAATGATATAAAAAAAAATGTATAACAATATCTTTTTACCTCATGATCTCTTCAGCAGCCAAGCCCTCAGCGAGTGTTTCTAACTGCTGTGGCGACATTCGACTTATGGCTGCCATGTCGATGATATCAAGTGCTAGCATAGGCTGGTTTTGCGCCGGCGCCGCTAGAGACGTAGTGAAGCACGCCACATAGAGCCATACCTGGGGACAAAGGAGATATTTTGAATGTATTGATTTTGTATTGTTGTGAGAAAACATTTTTTTTTTGTTTCAGACAACCACATCAATTGCTCTGTCTCATACTTAGAATTCCCTGTACTCAACTTATCGGCGCGGGCGCAGTGGCAGTGCCCCTCAGATCTTTACGATTTAAAGCTCTGAGTGGCACTGCAACTCTTATGGACAGGCGTGTCGCTTACCATCAGGCGCACGAATTGTACCTCCCGTCACTTGATAAAATAAAAATAAAAAAATTAAAAAAACTACGCCGGGCGCTTCCCAGAACACTCAAAACAGAGCCAATTAAGAAATGTTTATATCCCAAATTAATCCTACTAGGAACTGAACCCGCCTCGAACCTCCGCATCCAGCGTGAAAACCAGTGGGCCACCGAGGTCGGCAGATTTATATGCATTGTGACAAAGTTAAAATCACTACAAAATTATCTATCCAAGTAATGCTGCCGTGCAATTGTAGTTCACTAACACGGAACCCTCTTAAAAGGAACGAGGTAAAAAATCAAAAAAAGATAGAAAGAAGGTATAAAAAGCATAAAACAAATACTTCCGTCGTAAAAGCTGTTGCACCTCGCTTTCTCCGTATTACAATCTTACGCTTTATATTAAAAATGAGGTTTAGTGGTTGAACGTGCAACCCATAATCCGTGGTCTATTTAAAGAAAAGACACACTCAAGTGTAAACACAAACAAGTGGGAGTTTATAGTAAACATTACAAAAGTAAACACATTCCAAATTTAAATATCTATTGTAATTTCCGAGGTTATCTATACGAAAAATATGTACTTAGGTACAGGATTGCAAATATTGGGCAGTTACAAAGTAACAGCTATTTAATAACACTTAGGTGTCTCTTTGCGTAATCATTATATAATAATAATATCGACACTGTAAAGGTAATACATCTAACGTGAATTTGGAATATATTACAGTGGAGCGATTTAAAGTATTTTTTTAAGAAGAAAAGTCATAACTCTACTTTTATTTGTTATATGAAAAGCTGAAACTTTTTACTTGTCCGTGTAAGAAATAAAATTAAAGTTATAATTTTTCTTTTCTTAAAAAAATGCTTTAAATCGCTCTTCTGTAATATTTTCCAAGTGCACGTTAGACGCTTTACCTTTCCAGTGTCGATATACTCCCACAGCTGGGCACTGAACTTCTTCCACAATGAGAGGGGAAATTGCTGGGTAGATGTGTGCAAATTTCTTCACATTGTTTTCCTTCACCGAGAAACGCATGGTAAATTCCTAATTAAACTAGCATATAAATTCCGGAAATCTCAGAAGCGCAATTCCGGATTCGAACCCACGACTCTCTTCTTGAGAGGTGGTAGGTCAAACCATTAGGGTACTACGGCTTATTAACTATAATCATGATTAATTTAAACAGCATCCTGTTATAAAACAACGAAAATTATGTTTAAAACACACAGACTACCATAAAGACACAAAATATGACTTAGGAATTAAAATTACTTACACTTAAACATATAAACAATACTAAATCATCTAAAATATTAAAAAAAAATCTGTGTTACATTCTGTACCTAGTAAAGTTTTGCAAAATTGTCTTTGAATCGTACGCACCCAGTGCACACGATTCAAAGATTGTGATTTATTGTTAAGGTGATTTATTATTTATGTAATAATAAATCTCATATAATGCATTTTTTAATGTCATCATAGATATGTTCCTAAATAATAATAAGTACATTATTAGATGAATTTATTGTTAATGATTTTAAGTTAAAAAAAGAAAAGGTTCTTCACGTACTGATCGCTTTGACAAAATGCGAAATGTTACGCTTGATCATTTCATCGAGTGAGGCAAGCCTTGGCAGTGAAAAGCGAAAGTTTTTATGCGCACGCGCAATCTTTGAGCCTTGGAACGTCTTCCGTTTGCCTTGAGGCTACGGAATACGCGGCCAGAGATAAGATTTTTGGATGTCTTTTGTTTGTTGTTGACAATTAGTGACTTTAACTGGAAGTTTATTTAAAGTGAAAAAAAATGAAATTAAGTTTTTGCAATTTTGCAATTTGCATTAGAATAATAAGTTAGAGAATTTTTTTTTAACAAATCGTGCGCCTGATCGTAAGCGACACATCGGTTCATATCTGTTGTAGTCGCGCCCGACACCCTGAGACATAAGTTGACAAGGCCCATGTCCTTGTAATTTCACCAGCACCTAAGGGTGCCGGTCTTGAAGCGCTTACGCTTCAGGGAACAGTAAGATTTATTGAATGTGAAGGTGTTCCACGACCATGATACTGAATTTTTTTTGTGATATTACTCAAGTACTTAGTTTCTTATAATGAATCATACAAAGACCGAACACTTGGAAAAAAATCCTTCAATCCGGCTGGATTCGAACCAATGTCTTCTAGCAAACCGAGCCAGTCGCTGTGCCAACTAAGCCAGGGAACGAACAGCAGTAGAGTTCCTTGTGAAATAGTCGTCCAGGGAAGTATTTCTGCCGCCAAGCAGTAATGAGAGAATTACTGCGGTCTAATTTTGAAGGGTAAGTGTGGGTGTAACATCTTTGCGATTTAAAGCTCTGAGGGGCACTGCAACTACTATGAACAGACGTGTCGCTTACAACCCGGCGCACAACTCGTCCGTCCTGTTACTTAGTATAATAAAAAAAATGTATATTGTTCTTTTGTAAACAATGCCTCATGGCCCTACCCAACTCGTAGTAACGGCTCCGGGTCGCCATACCGGAAAAGTTTCCGAAGATTGTAATAAATTGATCGACTACCTAATATTCGTCGTAATAGTCTATGTACTAGTGAAAGGATGCTCACATAATATAGTTATTAAGTCACGATTGACCTAAAATTATAATTTTTAATGTTCATGGCTGTGGGTTATTATTGTTATTTTAGGTCGTTAGGCGGTTAGGTTACTAGTTTTTAATCTTTCAAAAAAATATATTTTTCGAACACGATTTAAAGTTTATTGCCATTCTTCATTCTCTCTTCTGACTTATGTGTGTAAGTTTACAGTTGAAATCTGTAAGGCCAGTCTATTATTAAGAGTGATTAAATAATAATATCTCGTATGTGATTATACACAATAATGTGGAAGTTAACATTTTAAGTGGTTAAATCACAGTATGACCATTGCCGCGTTCAGGTTTCGAAGGATAAGAGTGCTGGTGAAATTACAAGCTTATGGGACTTGTCAACTTCTGTCTCAGAGTGACTGGCGCTGTGGCAGTGCCCCACAGATCTTTGTGATTTAAAGCTTTGTATGGCACTGCAACTGCTATGGACAGGTGCGTCACTTACCACCAGGCGTAAGAATGGTTCGTCCCTTCAGTTGGTAGTATAAAAAAGTTTTCCTTCAACAACAAATCAGTAAAAAAAAACTATGTTAAAATACGTTGCAGAGGTTTTCACTCTGAGGTGACGTTTTATAGTATATGTAATGTTTCATAGTATATATGTACATATTTGTATAACTATCAACATTGTCATTTATATATTGCGCCAATGTTTCCATGCATATTTGTTTGCAGATATGTTTTTCTTTAATTTTGTAACAGACACTTAAATTGTTTTCATTTTCTCTATTAGCTACCCTAATCTTGAAGAAATAAGACCGCTATTTCCTCTTATGTATCTTACTATATTTTGACTGACTTTCAGAGTACAGTAAAATTTGATTAATTTGATTATATAACATCTGTTACCATTACATAAGTAGGTACCTATGTAGGTTGCATGTCTCTATGTGTGGAGAATAAGTTACGATTTTCGTTTACGTTACGGTTTTAAGTTACGATTTTTAAGTTACGATTCCGTGTGCAATGCGTTCTCCTTCTCAAACTTTTATTACGAGCAACGATATTTGAAGAGAATTTGTGAAGATTTGTACCTTTCCCATGAATATATGTCACATTTGTCGCTAGCGACCGCGTAAAACATTAATATGTAAAATGTTACTTCTTGGAACCACTACACAGGGCGCCATATTAAACTGTCAAATACTAATCGCTAGCCACAACTGTTACAGTAAGCTCATGGTAGAGATACTGTTCTGCGTTAGATCCACTGAACTAAATTTTTAGCCTATTAAATTGTTTATATATTGCGGTGGGGGAGGCCAATGTCCAGCAGTGGGCGTCGTATGGCTGAATTGCGTTTTATGCTTTAAAAATAAGTTACAGTAATAGACTGCCTCCGTAATAGACTATCAATCCTAATCTTCACATTGGTGGCGGAGTAAACCACGCTCACTTCCCGACGTCGAAAAAACGGCGTCTCTCCAATTCGCAATAATTGACTTTTTTAGGCTTAAATAGGAGAGTTATAAAATTACACATATACATAATTTGCTTCACGTAGTTTGTATTATTTCACGTGAAAGACGTATGATCACATGTGGCTTTGTTATGATAAAGGTTTGAATGAGTAAGTGTAATTCAGCGTAGATATCACGTCACAGTAGGCAAAATCGTCAATTATATTCACCAAAGCAACTCAGCGCGTATGCCGTGACGTAACAGTGCATGCATACACATTACACTACGTCAGACAGAGGTGAGACGTGCAAAGGGAAATAAATTCAAAGAAGTCATGTTTTCCTTATTTGGTTAACCACCACTTATTGCGTAACCACATTTCATAATTCACAATATTACGTTTTTTTTTCTAAAGACGACAATAAAGTACGTCTTCGCTTACACGTTTAAATCTTATAAAATAGAAGCAAGCAAGAAGAGAAAGTTATTGAACAAAAGGGATTACGATGTTAAAGAAACATCATACTCATAAAGCATTGCGTCCATGAGTTCATTCCATGTTCATTCTCACTTCGCCTGCCCTTATTTATCATTGGATATCCAGAACTACGGCGGGATATTTTGCCCACTTGGTCAATATTCCCTTCAGGCGCACTTAGCTCATTTCGTCAACTTTTATAGTGCGCACAGCCCAGGAGTGGAATTTCCTACATCA